TAGAAATAACGACTCGTTTAGACATAATGACTCGTTTAGACATAACGACTCGTTTAGAAATAACGACTCGTTCAGACATAACGACTCGTTTAGAAATAACGACTCGTTCAGACATAACGACTCGTTTAGACATAACGACTCGTTTAGACATGACAACTCATTTAGTCAGAACGACTCATTTAGACATAACGATACCGTTTAGACATAGCGACTCGTTTGCAGCAGCTATGACTTAGTTATTCATGGCTGGTGCAGCTACAAAATAATGTAATCCCGAAAACAATGAGTGAACCCTCTTTTTAGCGCATTTTCTCATTTATGGAAAAAAGGCGCTATTGTGCTCGTCATGTCCGTCCGTCTGTCCGTCTGTCTGTCCGTTCATCTGTCCGTCGGTGACTTCACGCTTTCATCGACGAGAAAATGCGCGCTCTGTCACTCATTGCAGTGAGTACTGAGTTATATTTTTTAGTTTATTCCGACTGCTGACGCGACCAGTCAGAACTTGTGTCGCAAATTACATGCATGGAATTCACGCATGCCAGGGCCTGCCTACACTGCCCAACACAACTACCTGTACTTACTCCACATTTGTAGCAGTCATATGAAGCATTCTATACCTTTATTTGTGGGACATTTTTTACTAACAGACCCGTTCACTTTTTACGAGACTCGCTTTAAAAAAATTAGATTGGGCTGAGGATTTGGAATTTTTGACAGCAAGAAGGCCTTTAATGAAACAATTAGCTACTCCTAGCTAAAAGTTAGTGACTCTGGGCCCTACAAACAATTCAACACCATAATTAACCAATACCAGCTGGTTCATTTAAACGATAGAAAGGAGCACTGCTTAGATGTCTTACGTTCGTGGGTGCCTCGTTTTTGTTTGTTATCATACGACATAGTTCAGTACAACGCAAATAAACTAATAAATTTATACGATGACGCGAGTCTTCTAATTTGAAGATAGTTTAGAAAATACCGTAGAATAAAAGATTTTCTACTATAAAAAATATAATTTTGATAGAGCATTTAATACTCGGCGAGGTTTTTATAAATCATGACACGAGTAGCTAATTGATTTATAGGAGGTCTTCTTGCTGTCAACAATTTAACCATAACGCCTACAATCTTAAACCCAATATGAATTGGCTTTCTAAAACCGATTCTCGTAAAACGAGAACACTGATCTACAAGTGGAAAAAAAACTTAAATAAGGGTATAGAATGATGCGCTCGATTATTTACAATTATGAACAGGTAAAGGTAGCTGTGTTTTGCAGCTGAATGTAGCTATGTGAATTCCATGAATATAATTTGCGACACAACTTCTGACTGGCGACTGGTCATGTCAGCAGTCAGAATAAACTTAAAAAACGACGTTTAACGCATTGTTTTCCGGATTAAATTTTTCTGTTGCTGCGCCAGCCACGCAAAATTTAAATACATCATTTTACGCAACATCGCAGATGAAAAATATTGTGTATCATCATCTTTTATCGATTTCATCATTAATATGAACACAAGCTCATCTGCCCCAATCAATATTGCTAAATTTTACGGTTCTCAAACACACGAGTGTGTAGTTCTGTTAAATACACGCAAATGTTATAAAGAAGCTGGTCATCTCAGGTCGCGGTAAGCTATGATCTGTGTGCGTTACACTCGGAGGACGGCGGAGACGAAGGACGACGAAGGCGGTGCATCAGCGTGACCGGGGACTAGGAAGTCTCAAACTCATCATATAAGGTCATAAGGTCATAAAAGAGACCGAGCTAAAAAAGAATCCTTGTTCTTACGAAAGGCGGTACAAGAGTTGACTATTTGTCTACTGAAAAACCTTTCGCTACCCTGCGTTTAATTAAGAATAACATTGACGACATGTAATGAATACCATAAAAGTTGATAATAGGACTTTTATTACGATCTTACTAAACTCAAACTTCGTTAATTTGACGCGTATCCTTCAAGGAAAATGAGCAGCTGTTGATAAATCTTGCTTCAACGCACGACGAGCGGCGCTAGAGTTAAGTTGATCAAGGCGCTATGAATCGGACGCCGCACTCTCATAAATAGTTAAGAGTTAGTAACTCCGTCAGCCATCCAGTGTCGGGTTTTCAAGTTGAAAACATCTATCATAAAACGAGAAATCAGCTGCTACATGTACTTAGGCCGCTACGTGTACTTAGGCCGCTACGCCTACTTAGGCCGCTACGTGTACTTAGGCCGCTACGTGTACTTAGGCCGCTACATGTACTTAGGCCGCTACACGTGTACTTAGGCCGCTACGAGTACTTATGCCGCTACCTGTACTTAGGCCGCTACACGTGTACTTAGGCTGCTACGCGTAATAAAGCGAGTTTAACAGTTCGGCCCCAGATCTCACTGCACTAGAGGATGTCGCAAAATTTGATGATGTGAGTCGTTTATGGTCGTGTTTACAACCACAGCTCCTCATGACAGCCGCAGTGTTGCATTACGACGTTCACGGTAACCTTACCAACACCTCCCCAAACATTATGCAATTTGTCGTAAACTCAGTTTAGGAGTAATGACTTTCGCATAGAAAACATCATGATTTTCGTGTTCTCGGAAATAAAAGCCACTTTCGCTCGGATTTTATCTCGAGCTACTTGGCATTTATTATCAAATTGACAGCGAATTTTAATTTAAATAGACTATTTTTAGCTTAGTGACGGTCAGTCAGAAATTGAAGATAAAAGGATTCCCGAAAATTCCATTAGAGATGGTAAAGTGCTTTTGATTACGTTTGGAAGCAGCATTTATACGTCAAAAATTTTATGCTTCACTATTTTTCGTGGTAATACTCAATATTTGAATCCTAACATTTGCGGGATAAATTCTAGGGACTAGAATCCATTTTCTCAGCGAGATTGCCTTGACTTCTCTTGTAATTCATACGGTTAGTTGTAAAATCATTCTCGCACAATTCACGTTCATAGCTGAATAACTTTCTTTGAGTAATTCTTTTTTATGGATGAATAATTCTTCACACAATTCATGCGTATTGTAAAATAATTTTTGTTCGCACAATTCTGAGGGATAACTGCGTACTTTTTGTTCACACAATTATGGAGGTTAACTGCGTAATCTTGCATCGCAAAGTAAACGAACAAAGAGAGGAGTTTGCACATGGCGTTTGTTTCTATTTAATTGTGAGCGGCAAACACTATTACGACCACCAGCTCCCTGGATCCATAAAATCCAATAAAACATTCACATATTCTAACGTTTACTTTTGCATTTCAAAATTTCTTTCAATATATGCAAATCAATTTAATCATTCACTTATCGTCTCCATGAATTTATTCGAAAACCATTTATAGCGGAGCTATAGAGATGAACTATTCAGCGGACGAGCGCACGATGACTTAGAAATTTCAAATAGTGCAGCCGAATTTATTTTTTTAATGTGAATAATTTCAATACGGAATGAATAAAATATATCGAAATATAAAGCTAATATTCCGAGATTTCCTGTGAGCTAGCGATGGGACAACAGCAACCTAGCGATTGGACAATTCATTCAGCGAAATGCAAAAAGTTTGTTTTAATTTGTATGTGGAGAATAATAGGTGTTCAAAGTTTATAAAGCATAAATAACATAAAATCAATGAAACTTGATATCGTTCGAGCATTGGATTTAACAGGCTGCATTATGATTCATTAATGAAGGAATAATGTTCTTAGTTATTCGATATTTACTTATGAGGGAATCCATGCCCCGAAAAATATCTCCAAGTAGCAAATTAAACTCGTTTATGAGCGTCATTTATGATGACTTGAGGCTGTGAATAAGACCACATCTTAATTAGAATCTCATGCGTATTATTACGGCATATTAGAGGATCACTGCGCTGCAGAATGGAGCAATGAAAGCTAAGGAAAAATAAGATGGCATTTTAAGGGGTAATTTCTGTAATGCCTCGACGTTTCTCCTCGTAATGAAGACATTAGAGAGCGCAGCGGGCTGCACTTGAAGCCTAACTTCACAATGTTTAGGCTACAGCAAAAAAAAGCTTGAAGCTTTTTGTTCCAAGCCTAAACTTTGTCGCGTGCGCTGCACAAGCTCGACTTGTTTGCCCTCGCTTGGCTTCCCTCAAGAAGGAAAAGCCAAAATTAAACTACGCGTCAAAAATTGTGGAAGAAATTCTTACCGCGAATAACTTTTTTATAATTAGGACGCCACGTGATGGACGGTGTACTACAAACGATTAATTTTATTGCCGTAAATATTTTTTCAGAGTCCTGTGTCATGATTAAAATTTCAGAAACGAAAACTGTGTAAAAGTTTCTTGTCGAAGTTTTTCTAAGTTAAGTTACATTTCTCAATAGATGAGGCTTGCAAGATTTCTGCGTCATTTTATAATTCTTCGCTCTTACACTATGAACATTGGACAATTTAAGCAAACTGCGCATGGTCGTTAAACGGTATGTTTGTTATCTTATGTTTAAACATTTGTCTACATGTGGCGCACCTCTGCTGTCGTTAGCGAATAGCAGTATTAACGAACCCACGTCAGGATCGCAATTAAAGCTCTTTTTATGGATGCGGCACAGAAATGTTACGGTCGATCATTTTTGAACAGCTCCTGACCGATGACTTGCTGATTTAGTTAGTAGAAATCATATTTGCTTCTGATGTTAAAAATGATTAAACAAAGAGTGGAGGAAATCAGATCTTATAACAGAGGAGTTCAGTTACTGGCTAGATGAGAATGAAGTATTAGCATGAAGGATTAGCAAATGTTGGCATAGAAACAACTCTAACTTGACTTGTCAATCAATTGGAACTTTGCTGAACAACATAATATTTATTTGAAATGCGGATTTATGCTCAAGTTTCTTGCTCAGTTAATTCTTAACAAATACTGAATAATATAATCCATTAAATCAATTTACCAGACAGTTATTATATGTCGTTGCAACTCAAATGGAGAATTAATTTTTTCTGAGTGGCGAACACGAAAGTCTTCAGTTTACTCGCAAATGCGGTGGCAGCTGCATCAACAAATGCCGTGGCAGCTGCATCAACAAATGCCGTGGCAGCTGCATCAACAAATGCCGTTGTTGCATCAACAAATGCCGTGGCAGCTGCATCAACAAATGCCGAGGCAGTTGCATCAACAAATGTCATGACCGCTTCACGAGATATGAGGTCCATCATGCCGTGGGGTTCAGCCTGCTTCCCAACGTCGCTCCTGTTGCAGGCAACACGTGACAACAAAAGTCGAGTGTTCGAGCTTTTAAAAATTTCATTGAGCATGCAAATACTTTCGAATATTATAATACAAAGCATATTGATTCATAGAGGTAATAATGAAAAAAGTTGTATACGCTTATTATAGCTGCAAGTTATGGAAGTCAAAACAACGTTCAGCTTGATACCCAGTGATCAGTGATCAAGCTAAACAGTGATCAGCGTGAATCGATTGTCTTCCTTGATTTTATCCCATAGAACACGCATGTTTTAATACAAGAACTAGCATTAAACTACATCAGACAAGAGATGTAGATAAAAAATATCTTTTGTAGCAACGTTCCCCGCAATTGATTTCGTTGAATATTATCTCGAATGCTTCTTTTAACGCTTCAAGTCAGTTTGTTAATAAATAAACTCTAGAACTGCGCTTCAGAGCAGCTGGGGCGTAATTACAAAGTAAGTGCATCAAGTGCAGCGCTAATTCCGGAGCAGAACAACGTGTCTGTGATGTCTTGTCTTCAGCATTTGTGGAGAGCAATAGAGGGTCTGATAGACGACGTGCATTAACAATAAGAAGCGACCTGAGAAGATCTTGTCGGATGTTCCGAGGGTAAGTTTAATGAGCTCTCGTAGCCACACTCAGATGTCTAATTTGCCCTACAAATGATAGCTTCACAAACAGCTTTAATGCCTCCCCCAACGCTTCTGTTATTTGTAGGGTCTTGGGATCTATTAACTGAGGATCATCGCTATTAATATTTGCGTACAGAATACGCATTGAAGTACAGCACTAACACGATAAAACTTCGAATACTCGTGAAAATGATTCATCGTTTCTAGTCATTATATGTACATATATTATCAGCATGAACATGCATACCTCTGATCACTGCTTGAATTCCTTTGTAGATTATAAGCGTCAATTTACGTGAGTCAGTTTACAAAATGAAGAAAAGGCTTTTTTAAGAATAAATAAACAAATCATAAATATTTACATGGAAAATTTAAGTACAGTTCAATTTTTCTGATGCAAAACTAATTAAAAGAAAAACAAATTTACTTAGTTTATCAATGAAAGGTGAAGTAGGAATTTAATAGCAATTTCATTTATTGATCCAATTTTATTAGTCTAGCCAATAACAGCGTGAATAACATGATAGTTCCACGCTGATTTCATATGCTGATAACAAGAGATGAATGGCAATATTTGATATCGTGATTCGTGAGCATTGTCTACTTCAGCAATTATGTTTGATTAAACAAATTATGAACAAATGTGATGATCGTTTCATCAGCATCACAGCATACCGCCATCGTGATGTACTTCGCGGTGGGTAAAATTAAGCTTAAGTTTCCCACTTTTAGTTTTGAAACGTTGTTTAATATTATACATTGATAAGTTTCATTCTGAAATGCTTTCTTCGCATAAATTTTGAGATGTTATTTATAAGAACAATGCGTCGAAACGATGAAAAAAAATTCAGTCATTCTTAATTCAACCGAAAAAAACTAACTCATGTGTACCAATATTATAGCTCCAGCATGATAACGCCTTCAAGAGATATTATATAATATATCTAATGTGGGTATAAGATATTATATGGCTTCAAAAGATATTATATAACACGGGTTTAGTTCCACTCAATAAAGTAATACCTTTTGTACGAGGTCCTCGTGTATGAGGTCCTCGTGTATGAGGTCCTCGTGTATGAGGTCCTCGTGTATGAGGTCCTCGTGTATGAGGTCCTCGTGTATGAGGTCCTCCTGTATGAGGTCCTCGTGTATGAGGTCCTCCTGTATGAGGTCCTCGTGTATGAGGTCCTCCTGTATGAGGTCCTCGTGTATGAGGTCCTCGTGTATGAATATTCTCGTTTTTTATTGCCCAATTCGGAGTACGGCTTTTAGAGCAACGCCGATCAACCCTGTTGCATATGAATACCAATTTATGCTATCATTTATGGTAATTATTCTATGCTTAAGATTTTCTAATATCATTATCGAAGAAATTCAATCATCATTTTTAACAATGCATAGACAATGCTGAGCCCAATTCGAAAGCTGTTCGTTCATTTTAATTATTTATTGTCCCTAATTTTCAGTGAAAGATTATCTTCAGTAATTTGAAAAAAAAAATTCAAGAAAATTTCTCCCATTTTCGTTAAAAAGAACTTTGTAATAATCAATATAAGTTTTAAATAAAAAATAAGGTGAATTTGGGGACGTTTTCTTTGCTTTTAAATTATTTATTATATGCTTTAAAGCGATGTAAATCTTCAAAAATCTATTTGCTTCTTACTATTCTTAGCTACAAAATTCTATTTCCTTCATTACATTATTGCAACTTAATTAAATTGTAAGATTCTTCTACCAGATTTTAAAGCGACGTTTATTTATAGTAGTAAGTTTTAAAGTTCGAGGTTCCCTAATAAGGCATTTTTCTGTGAAATGGCAGTTATTCCGAAATTTGATGAATAAAATAACGTAAATGAAAACAAATCCTTCATCAAAGGTTTGAAAATCAAATTTTCTGAATTGATCAATTAAAATTAAGGGTTCATCTGCAAACTTGGACATTTATTAAATTAATGCTATTTACATTGTTTAATTTATCTGATATTTTCAGTGCAAAAATTTCTCAATGAGGGCTAATTAAAGGAAATTAAGAACTCTTAAGGAAGCATTGAAATATTATCACTGATAGAACAAAATGGTTCAAATTCAACACCATCGAAGCCGCTTTTCAAGGAGACAAGTTTAATTTGCTGTGGTTATTGCTACTTCAGCGCAAAGTAAAAGTATTATCTGACAAGAATCAAGGTTTCATGCATACATAGAGTGGCCAAAGAAATAAATAATCAAGTAGCATCATGACCAACTTTTCGCATCAAGTGAATTTGCAGCATAGAAACACCTAATATAAACGAATTATTTTGATCAAGAATGCATTTCCTCTGACAACGGACAACGCACGACAAATCAATCATATGACTAAAGATTTAGGAAGTGGAACATAGCTGATAAATGAAATTTTCATGTACGCGCTCCCGAATGATTTCATGAATCTACCAAGATTCGCAGAGACAGGAATTAGTGCAATCTATTTCACAACCGAGAGAATAAACAGAGCGAACGAAGCGATGAATTGCGGCATAAGTCCGGCGTACACGAATAACCTACGCACCAGCAACGGCGCGACGGTTGGTGACATGCGGCCGTGGTAGATGGTTCCTCGAGCAGACCGATAACGAAGCCTATTGCGAGCGTGGTTCCCAAAATTAACAAGAAAAAAGATCCCGCCGCGCCCAACTATGACCTGAAACCACCCGAAGATGAAGGCACGGCTGGTACCTGGGCCAGCCCGGTCCCAGGTACCAGCCAAGAAGCTAAAAAAAGCACACGGTTCTCCAAACCTGTGCGTTATTGGTACATTCCTCATTCGGAACCAAGAAGCGTCAGTCCCACGCTAGTGCTTAGCCACGACACGTCCCCTCCAGAGCTTCCCCCTAAGCCAACACGAATCTCGACGTTGCCGTTGCCACGGACATCACACAACCACGGTCACGTTCCAGCAGCCACGGTAGCAACCATCGAGCGTACAGCTTCCTTCACTGATAAACTCCACAATCCTCAGCCAACGCACTTCACTTTCGACAATTTTGGTCCATTGGCCGCCCCCAGCGACTCTTCCGCAGATCCTCCGCCTCTCACTCCTTCCAGTGTGCGATTCCGTCAAGGGCCTTCCCTTGAGCCGAAAAGGCTAGAAAACCTCCCTAACATCCGTCTCCTTCATTCAAATGTCTTTGGTCCAGGACTTAACCCTAATTTGGCTTGTGATCCATGCAAACTTCCATCTTTCGATCATAAAGAACTTCATAATTCACCAAAGCCTACCCAAATACCGAATTTATACTCAGCCTTTGGCAAGGAACGCGCCGCGTCTCCTGACCATACCAAGACCCTGACGACGGGTGAGTTCAGGAGGTCTAATCAAACGGCGTCTGCAGCGCCTGCTGCTGCTGCTGGGGCCGTACAAAAGTCTGCTTCTTCTGGACAGGAAATTGCCCTGCAGGAATTGCAGCACCATCTTCAGACATGCCGCTGCACCTGTAACCATCTCGGCTACGGCAACTATCAGGTCAGATTGTCCCTAAGATTTCTAAATTTAATCCTAATATATTAAATTATGATGCATTATCTTGCGTTAAAAATATGCATGTGCATGTTTTTCCGAGTCAGTTATACTTCGAATGTTATTCTGGAATAGGTCTGATGCCTGTATTTCCAGTCTATAAAAATCTGCGTCAAGAGAATATTTTTTGCAGTTTTTTTGTAGTTTTAGTTAATAATCAAACTGCAACGTTTTAAACTTGCTCACTTCAACTCCTGGTACAACGAAATAAATGAAATGAATGCATTTATCTTATATTTTAGCTGTTCTGATACTGGAAAAGTGAAATTTTTAGAACTGAAAATTCTTCTCTATTAAAACAATAGATCATAAATCTTTCTACTTTTCTAATTTTATTACAGAACAGGAAAATTTAGACTCTATTTAAAATGTACTAATTAAAATTATAAAATTTTAAGATACTTGATAGTTTGAAAGATGTAATGAATCATCGATACATAGAAAGAAGAAAAATAATCATACTGGACTTCAACATAAAACCATTGACAACAAATAATCATGCAAAGATAACTATGAAATTTCACACCGCATAAGCGTCGGAGCTGGTACACGTAATTCAGTTTCGTCATGTCTTAGCAACTACGAAAGCATTCACTGATGCATCTGCCAAGACATCTGCTGATGCCACTGGCAAGGCATTAGCTAATGCAATTACCAAGACATTTGTCAATGCAACTGCCACGGCATTGGTCAATGCAACTGCCAAGGTGTTTGCCAATGCCACTGCCAATACAACTGCCAATGCCACTGCCGATGAAATTGCCAGGACACTGGTCAATGCCACTGCCAAGGCATTTGCCAATGCAAAAGACAGGCAGACAAGTTCTGCTAAAAGGAAGCTCAATGTCTGAAGTTAGAGCAAGCAGATGGGGTCAGTCAAACTGCCTTCTAAATCTCACAGTGACTTCTAAAGGGCAACAGTGCCTTCTAAATCTTTTATTTTGGGACAAAATATCCATTAAATTATCAGTTTAGTGTAAAAGATGCAAATTTTTCTTTTATAACTGAATCTTCGATGTTAAACATTATAATAGCACAGCACGAACGAAGAGGGATTAGTTTTTCTCTGTCCATGTAATGAATGATTATGACTCATCGTGACTAGTTGCATGGAGAGAAATTGTTTGCATTTTCAATTACCTGATAAACTTTCAAAAATGATCAAAAGATGTAATTTAAAGATAAAAAATGAAGTTAAAAGGTAAAATTCGTTGGAAAGGTGAGAGTGATTGAAGCCTTTTGACGATCACCAGGCCGACGTACGCAAGTTAGCGGCAGCAGAGGAAGAACGTGAAGAATTTCTCGTGCCGTCCTTGCGTTGATTTGAAAACATTCGGTGCAGCCAAAGCAACGCTAGAGGAATGCGTCAATTACAGCGCCATAGGCTTTCCAATCATGGTCAGTATTTTTGGCTTCTGTTTTGGAGGTGAAGTGACATTTTTTCCAGCAAATATCGCGTTTTCAAGAGATTTGGTAGGAAGTACGTCATTTTTAGTATACGCGCGGCATCTTAAATGTCGCTCTGCACACGTAATAATATTTTAATAATTTTAAATAAAGCAAGCTGGTTCAAGAAAGAGAACATTTCCCTAAAAACTGCAGATGCTTTGAAAGCTTTACCATAGGTTGAATGCAGTCTCCATATAACTTAAAATTACTACCACCTAACGAGTTTTTTTTTAGATTGCCATTGTTTTCTCACCTTAGCATACATTGTGGCAGCGAGCGTGCTCTTTGTGCCGTTTGAAAGCCTCCTCGGGCGCTTGTAGCAGAGCGTGCGTCGCCCATTCATACAATTTACGGTGCACGGCACATTGTTATAAGAAGATCATCTGTGAATGCGTTGCATGTGCATCACAGCAACGATGGTGCGGGTGGTCACTGTATTGCTCCACTCCCCTGACAACGAAAAGGTCCTTGCCGAGCGCTCGTTTCTTCTGGCTCGTTGCTTCTCAAAGCTGCTGCTATGCAATGGCTGCTGTAAACTGCTTGAATAATTTGCTAACTTCATTGCAAGCTGCAAGTATTATGCAGTCACAGCTGCCATCTAAGCATATAAATGCGCGAATATGCACAGGAGAGTCGAAATTTCGCTTGTCTGACTAGCCAGTAGCCAGTGTGGAGTAACGTAAACTGAGACTGTGGCAATAGAAGATTTCTTTACCATGAATATAAATTGCATTTATAGCACATCTCAGGAAACAAATGCGTAAATCAATAACGTTAAACGATCATTTATGAATAATAAGCAAATAAAATAATCCCTGATCGAGAACGTTTAATAGTAATTGATAGAATTTGAGCATTTTGCTTCAATAAATTACTAAATTATTCTTGCATTAAACTAGGAGACACATAAATAGGCCTCCAGTAGCTCGAGTTTTGGTATCACAAGTTACAAAATATAATAAACCTACGAAAATTATTCGCCCGAAGTTCTGCAGTGGTCGCGGAAATTTGTTTTTAGTTTCCTGAGAGAGGCACCAGAAGCAATAGAAAGAGCCATAAGATTCGTCGGTCTCGTGCTGAAAGACCTGCAGGCTTTGCCAGACGCCTTTGTAGTAGAACCGATCCCATAAATACTACCAACTTTGTGAGAAGAACACCAGAAAAATTACTGTTTTGCAGTTCATTAGTAAACAGAGAGAAAATTTTGTCGTCGCCAGCTGGATGTGTTGCAAGGAAGAAAACGAAACTAAAAATAATTGAATTGCACGATTTTTGAAGCGCCGCCATTGACTAAAAACTTGTTTTGTCCTCAAAAAGAGAGACCATCTAAAGCTTATGCGATGATAAGAACTTTACTTTTCCCGAAGAAATCGCAGAAAATTCCACAAGTCCAGCAATTTGCCGTCACATATGAGGCGTTCAAAATCTCGTTACTGCTTCCTACTTCGGCTCACCACCGTAACTACTCCTCGTGCTAAATTTCGCCTTAAAATCTGTGGATTTACGGAACTTCGTAAATTCTGTGACTTTGTTTGCATTAAAATTTTACTGTGTATTTTTAAGAATTATGTGTAATTTTAGTAGACATTTTATTTAAATTGGCTGCGTGAAATTTTTGCGCATACAATAATCCTTTGGATTTCAAAATAAAATATCATCAACTCCGTAACCTCGATGACTATGTTTACAACAGAATTTTTCTGTGCGTTCGTAATGCAATTTCTAATAAATACTTGACATCAGCAACAATGAAGCTCTTGTGAAACCACTATAACATATTACATCGGGTAGACGCGTATCTACGCAGGCAGTATCTGGTAGACGCGTATCTACGCAGGCAGTATCTGGTAGACGCGTATCTACGCAGGCAGTATCTGGTAGACGCGTATCTACGCAGGCAGTATCTGGTTGACGCTCTTTTTGTGCTCGCGAATCATCTTGCCCTGTCCTGGTTCGGCAAGAGGTTAGATTAACTGTGCTACGTCAGCAGTCAGCTCGTGCTGCGGGCAAGAAAATGTTTCACTATTTGGCCAATATGACCCGGTAATTTTTCAGGGTGGTAGAGACCCCACAGCAAGACGGTCTGAGCAGTTCGTTGTTGCTTTAAGTTGTTGTGGACCGCGTCGTTGGCTCCCTAACAAATGTCGCTAATATCAGGACTTGACCGCCAAGTGCAAGACTTTGTTGTTAATGCAGCCACTGAGTTAAACGGTCCTTGGGACTGAAAAACAGGCGGGTAAAATGGGTCCTGTGAAAATGGGCCCCGCAAAGTGGGTACTGTAAAAATGGATCAAGTGAAAATGGGTTTAGTGAAAATGGGTCGTTGTCCAAGTTACACACGCGGTGTGAATGCACTACAACTACCAAATTTTTTAAACTTCGAAGTTCTTACAACCTTGCACTTTTTACGATTCTCTGGCTTTGCACTAAAATATGCAATTTTGCGAAAAATTTTACTTTGTAATCGCACTTGTGCATAAAAAGTGCATTTAATAAATAACAATAAGAATTTCAATCAATATTGACTTGATTGTATTATATGAGCCATACAATTCTGATCTGCTCGTAATTACAGTCATTCTTTACTCTATGAAATTAATGGAGGCATCGTTACTAAGTATAAACCGAAATGCTCATATTTTGAAAATCTTTCTGTAATACACAGCCTAAAATCAATCTTATTTCGATCACTATTGTACAAATTAAAAGCGAAATGGAATAATTTTTATAAAAAATAAGGCTTTCTACCATGGCATAATTTTTTATCATTTATTTCCATCCTGAACTATGAGGCAATGAAACAAAAGAAGGATCAGGCCCAGAATGTAGATCCGCATCAGCTTATGATTCCTCGAAACAGAAGCTGCCACGCCTCTAAATTTTGTTTGAGGGCCGAACGTTTGTATTGAGCTCCGGCGTAGACTAAATACGAAGGGAGCTAAAGAATTAGCACGCGCCAACCTCTCAGATCTTCTCCTTCATTATCTTCCTTTCATAATTTCAGTGCGGTAATAAACTAGTTTTGAGTCAATACAAAAAATAAAGAATATCTTCACAATTAACCATAATGTTAAGAAAATGTAGGAGATGCTAGAGAATTTGTCTAATAATTTATTATTATTTCTAATAATTTAGCGGAGAAAATTGCAAAATTTCCAGGCTATTTGTCAATTTGCCGACTTTGCAATTGGAAAAACTTGGCAAATAAAATAAAGTCGAGTCACATCTCAAAATAGAGTCGAGTCACATCTAATGCTAAAATATTGTTGTAGCGAGCTCTAATCGATGAAAAATGTACATAAAAACGCATTTATTACACTTTTCTCTTAATATGGAATATTCTGATTTATTTAAGGAATTAAAGGGAATGAATCGTAATGAATTCTCTCAACACAACCTACTACAATAAATTGTCCTGTCAAACAGCGAAGTGGCAGTAAACAGTAAGAGCCAATTATTAAACCAAAAATCCTCGATTATTAAAGGATTATATCGTG